GTTTCCTTCCGGCGGTTTTGCCCGCGTCTTAGGCACTCGGTCCGTTTGTGTTGAGCGGGCGAAGCCGGGGCCGTGGTCCTGGTTCTGAGGCCGAACCATGAGTGTGAAGTCAGATGTACGTGTGTCAAACCCTCCCCTTCGGCGGGTGGCAGTGGTTCCAATAATTGGCACAGGTCGACCCAACGCCTCCTTGCCGTTTTCTACCCTTCCGGGGACTTATTGTTTTTCCCCTTGACTCGAATATAATTTTTACTAAACTTCTTTTCCGGGGCTCTTCACTTTGGGGAAGTCGCCCACTCCTTTGGAAATACAATAAGTTAACCCCTCCATTCCTCAGATATGCTCATCGAATTGGGGGTGAAATTGGGAGGATGGGGTGCCCAATGAAGAACTCGGGGCCACGAGGGAACGGAGTGCAGAGGACCGGGTTGACCTGCTCCCTGGGCCCGAGTCCTTAACGAAGGTTTTGGGATGTTTCATTAAACCAGTTATGAATGATGCACAAAGCGCTGTCTTCCAGGAGAGGGGAGATCAGACATGAAACCATGGCAACACACACGCTTTTAAAGGTCCGACGAAGAGGTTTTCTCTTCTTAGGATTGGAACCTAGTCCTTAAACTAGGATCACAAGGTGCTGACCACTCTCGCACTCTCACCCCCCTTCCCTTTGCGGGGATGTTCACCTTACCTTTCAACCTTAAGCGGCATTGCGGTGTCATGCCTGATCCCCCTTCTGGAAGGCAGTCTTTTTTTTTGCATCACCCACAAAGCTGTAATGAATTACTCCAAACCAACAGTTAGGACTCGGAGTCTGATCAATGCGAGTGTACTTCCATGAACAACGGAATGTAAACGTTAAATGGATAGATTAATCGATGGACAGGTGTAATATAACTCATCACGTAGTGTATTTAGCCACCTGAAACAAAATGTTTTTGAAATTAAGAAGTATGAAGACCAAAAGCTGTATACAGAAGGTTAATTGGACTTATTCCGTTGTGTCATTCCCCAAAGGATTTGGAACTTTAGAAAAATAAGATACCATGAATCCCTACTTGAGGGATCTTTCTGGTCCAGCAATCTGCTGCCTCTTCTCTTTGGTTTTATTAAGGAGTTTTAGAGTTGGGAGATGAATTTTCATAAAGGAGTATATCTCCCATCACTCCACTTTTTAATACATTTAATGGAATATCTCCAATTCAGTGAATTATCTTGGGCCCAGCTAGGAAGTTGGGTAATTGAAATACTTTAAGTGATAAGATTTTTTTAAATATAGAGACAGAGAGGTTAGAGTCCTGTTGGCTCATTTTGATAATTATGAAATATTAGTAATATGCTCATAATAGAGGAACTCAATGCACTTTTTCATATGCAAATCATCTTTATAATCTCCCCCTGAAAGACAGGTGGCTGTTTTCCCAGAGAGAATACCGAGTCAAATAGATTTAAGCATCTATTCAAAGACAGAGGGTAGAATCTAATCTTTTATATTCAACAAACTTTTTAGTACATTCCTAATTTTTCAGACTTTATTATTATATTAGGCCCACTGGGAGAGCAAGAATAATACAGACAGCTTTTTATCCTGAAGGAGCTTATGATTTAGAATATATGTCCTCTATCCACACCACTATCAAGCAGTTATTTACTTAATAAGCTTATGTCAGCTGAATCTAGTAATAATATCATTATTTTTCTAGGGATTTACAGTCTTCTCAATCTTGTTAACCAGAAATCCAATTAGACTGTTATGTGATTGGTTGATATTACACTGGTTGATATTACACTGAACTACAGTATATAAGGAAAAAATGAAGTTTTGTTATTTTAAATGAGTGGAAATGTTGAGTCTTTGCATAATGCAGCTACCTCCTGCACACCTCCTACTGGGGATGTGCCCGCAACCAAGGTACATGCCCTTGACCGGAATCGAACCCGGGACCCTTCAGTCCGCAGGCTGACGCTATATCCACTGAGCCAAACTGGTTAGGGCTTTGTTTTATTTTTTATTTCAGGTAGTAACAGACGTGGATGGAATGCCACCAGCCAGAGATACTCCAGTGTTATCCAGCCATCCAGTTTCTCCAAATCCACACCATGGGGGGGCAGCAGAGAGCAAGAAAAACCATCTTTTGGTTCTTTTGATTCTGGAGATTCAACTAACAGGAACAGGGGGTTTGGATTATCTCAGAACCCATTTGCTACTTCACCTACGTCTGATGAACAGAAAGATGAAAAGAAACTTCTGTAAGTGAAAGCACTCAGAAAAATTATCTATTTTCTTTTTTTAAAAAAATTACTTATAATATATTTTTAAAGAAATAATACACTATTTAAAAAATCAGAATAAGCAAAAAGAAAAAAAAAAGCACCGATGATCCTATCACTCAGAGATAACCACTATTTTGCATAGAAATCATACTAGATTTTATTTCATTTAAAAATGTGTCATCTTTCCATATCAGTACAGAGCCTTCTTAGAGCTAATTATGCTTTTCCCACTTTTCTGTTGATAACACTATATTGTGAATGTCTTTCTAAGGTAGTCCTGCTTAAGTTGGTTGTAAATTATGAGACCTTTACAAAGTATGAGGTAATTTAAAGCAACTTGTGATCTTGGAGGTCAAATAGCATCTCAAATTTTTCTTTTTAAAACTTTTACTTCATTTACGTCATTCAAATTGAAAAAGTGAATTAATTTGATTCCCTTCCCTTTTGTGGAGTAAATTCCTTAACATTTCTTGAGAACATTTGTAGCAGAAGTTACGACTGGTGCCAAATCAGTGCCTGGCTATCTAACTTCCCTCAGCTTCTGACAAAAATATACTTGTTAGTCTTTTACTTTCCATATAACCAAGTTAGAACCAATGGTAACCATTTTAAGCTGTGTACCATATATACTGATTTTTTTTTAAAAAAGAAAAAACAAATGAGCCTCTCCTTCCTATATTTGATGTTTTTGTAAAAATCCTAAATTTAATATAGATTCTCTGTGGTATCATTTTATTAATTGTAGCATTCCGGACGGGGTAGGAGGGGATTTAATTTAGAGATGACTCTATCCACAGCTTTGCCAACAAATTAACTGTGTGGGTATGGATCTATTTCCCCTTTTGAAAAGCATGAGAATTAGACAAAATGATCTCTAAAGTCCTACCCATTTAAAAATATTATGCTTTTTACACTAGAGGCCCAGCACATGAATTTGTGCACGTTGAAAGGAAATTAATTAGAAGGTGGCCAGTGGGGTGGGACTGGGCAAGATGGGCCAGACACATCCTGGAGCCAACCTTCCTCAGTCCCTCCCCACCAGCTGCACCTGAGGTGGCACTGGGGCTCTAAGGGTGTCTGTGGAGTAAGCAGGGTCCCTCCGGCAGGTGGGGTCCCTCGGCCTGGCCTGCAGGATCGGGCCGAAAATGGCAGTCCGACATCCCCCGAGGGGTCCTGGAGTGCAAGAGGGCACTCTGCAAAGTTGCTGTTGCTTGGCAGCTCCTGCGTTGAGCATCTGCCCCCTGGTAGTCAGTGTGTGTCATAGCTTTTATATATATAGATGGTACTTTCTCTTTCCCAGTTAAATGATCATTGATGTTTATGATAATGAGCAAAAAGATTAAAGTTGTATATTTGACTCTATTTTAGTTCCTTAATACATATTGTACAATAGTTCTCAGTTAAATGTATTGGTTAATGGTTCTGTGTACTGGAAAACCAAAATTATGAACTTCTTTAGTCTTAAAATATCTACAACATGAAGTGTAGTTCATATTTCTATAAACTTCTGCTTTAATAAACACTTGAGAAAACATAATGGGAAAAAATCTAAAAGTACATATTTACTACAATTTAAAATTTCAGTCATTGAAAGTTATAACTGATAAATTTTAATAAGCAGATGAAAAAGATTCTCTTTTTTTGTCAGGGAAGGAATTGTGAAAGATATGGAGGTTTGGGAATCATCAGGGCAGTGGATGTTCTCTGCTTATTCACCAATGAAAAAGAAACCTAGTATTTCAGGTAACTGAGAAATTGTATGTTTTTAAAATATGTTTTACAACTCTTATTTTCTAAAACCAGGACCATGCCAAATAAAGAAATTAACATTGTTTAAAGTATTTGAGTATTCTAGCAGAACCTCTTAATTCAGAGGTTGAGGTTGGAAGGTATATTCTTTTAAGATACGTAGTTCTCAGTACAATCAGGACCCACCACAGTTCCCCTTCTGTAAGCCCAGGCAGAGGCTCTGCTTTCTTGGTTCCCTACAGGTACAACTTCAGAACCTCTTGGCTGCCTACAGGGAATAGAAGAGTCATAGTCTCCCTGCCATCAAGGCCTTGGCTGTCCGATTCTTTTTTCTCTTGCCTCCCTATCTTTCCTTTTAAGGATAGTTGTTTTTCATAAAGCATGTGAAGACCTACGCTGGAGGTAATGTCTGAAGGTAAAGAGCTTTAGCTGGGCTATAGGGATAGCATTTCTGTAGAAACCCTTTTCTTCCTATTTTCTTTTGTCCACAGTTTCTAAGCCCTTTCTGGACTGAAACCTACACACCACACTTCTCTAAGCCCACTCTGGGTGGTCCTGGGCTTCTGCCCTATTGAGTAAACAGCAGGTACCTAGCAGATGAGAGCCCTTGCAATCCCTCAGCACTCTGGGACCTCTGCTCTGTGTCAGCTCCACCTGCTCATTCTCTGTGAGCATGTGTGTCACACAGCTCCTTAGTTATTTATTTACTCAATCATTCAACAAATTCTTGCTGAATTTCTTTTGTGCCAGGCCCTATTCTAAGTGCTGGTGATATAGTGATGAGCAAGATGGACAAGATCCCTCCTTTATGAAGCTTATGTTCTTGAGGGAGGGAGCCAATAAGTAATACAAATAAATAAGAGAATTTCAGGTAGTGATTTTTCTATAAAGAAAATAAAGAAATACTAAGCCTTTTAAAATCAGTTCAGAATTAAACCTAATGCTTACTGAATGCCCTAAAGCAGTGGTTCTCAAAATGTGGAATGTAGATCCCTAAGTATGGTTGCCAGATAAAATATGGGTTCCCAGTTAAATTTATTTTAGGTAAACAAAGAATAATATTTTAATATATGAATAGCCCTTGTGACATACTTATACTAAAAAAGTATTTGTTGTATGTCTAAAATTCAAATTCTGTATTGTTTGCTGAATTTGGCAATCCTATTCCCGAAACCCTTGCAGGGGCTGTGCAAATTCAAAAATATTTTCATCATAATACTAACACATTAATTGCCATTTTCACTGTGTTGACATTAGCACAGTTGGTGCAAAAGCATTAATGCGTAAAACACATTGCATCGTAGTAAATATACATCAAGGCAGAGACAATAAACTATTAAAGTATGTAGTAGTCAATTAAAAATATGTCATTTTCACTTAATGTCCTTGATGAAATGGTAAGAGTTATTACTTTTATTAAATCTTGACCTTTGAGTGCAAACCTTTTGCTATTCCGTGTGACAAAATGGGAAGCGCACATAAAGTGATCCTGCACCGTGCTCATGTGTGATGGTTATGTTGAGGGAAAGCACTCATGTGATTGCTGCCTTGTGAGCTGAACCAGCCACTCTTCTTCCCCCACAGGACAATTTTTATTTGAAAGAATGACTGAGAACTATGGTTATTTAGACTTAAGTGTTTAGTGACATTTTCTTTAAAAAAAATAAATGAAGTGAGCCTATCACTTCATAGAAAACAACTGACAGTGTTTATTGCCAATGATAAAATTCAGCCTTTCAAGTGAAAATTCGATTATGGAAAACTGTTTTCTGCTAATGTGAGCTTGATGACTTCTTGATACTTAAAGTCTTGTCTGATGAGATGGATAGTGACATTAATAAGTATAAATATTTTAATATTATACAATGACATTTGCCAACATTTGGAAGTTCTAGATAACTCAGTAGAACTTCCAAATGCTCAATCTATAATGTTACAAAATTATACATGGCTGAAAAATCCATTCTAAGTGCAAGATAAACCAGTGGATTTAATATAATTGTACAAAAATTTTGCATCCACATTGTAGCTAGCCTTTAGAAACTACTACCTGTTGCCCTAGCCAGTTTGGCTCAGTGGATAGAGCATTGGCCTGCAGACTGAAGGGTCCTGGTTTCCTTTCTGGGGTTGCGGGCTCCTCCCCAGTCCCAGCCCTGGTTGGGGCACATGCTGGAGGCAACCAATCAATGCGTTTCTCTCACATAGATATTTCTCTCTGTCTTTCCCTCTCTCTCCACTCTAACTCAATGGAAAAATATCCTCGGGTGAGGATAAAAATTAAAAAAAAGAAACTACTACCTGTCAAGTTTTGGTATAATATCAAAGAAGAATATTCACAATTATCTGAAAAGGCCATTAAATTCATCCTTTTCCAACTACATATCTGTGTGAGAACAGGTTTTCTTCAGACACTGCAACTAGGCAATATATTGCAAAAGATTCCATGCATCTAATTGTTTCCTGAAATTAAATCCTGTAACTTATATTAAGGTCAGAAGGAGTGAACATTTCTAAGGCTAGTGATGCTTATTGACAGTTTTCCTCCCAGATAAGTTGTATATTTTTAATCCCCTTAATGGCAATTTAAGAGAAAGTCCACTTCACCACATTCTTAATAACAATAAATATTCATTTTTCATTTTTGCCAGTCTGATAAGTAAAGCATTTTATCTCTATTTTAAGTTGTATTTTTAAAATTTAACTTTTTATTTCATTTATTTACTGGATATTTGTATTTTTGTGACTTGCCTATTTATTATATTTGCTCAAATTAACTTTTTTTTAATGATTTGTAAGAGCTACTCATACATTAACATTGGCTCTTCTCCTGTCATGTTGCAATTATGGCTTTCCCAGCTTATCATTTGCCTTTAAATTTTGCTTATTGTTTCTAACATATAGAATATTTTTTTAGACACAAGTTTGAATGTATATATAGTCAACTTTCTTTTTCTTCTCTTATTCTTTTTCTCTATTTTGTTATTCTTTCCTCTCCGTTTATCTTTAGAAAAAGTTCCCCTTCAAAGATCAAATAACCAACTACATTTTATTCTAATTTTATACTTATTTAAACATGAGAGTGTAGGCTCCTTATAATTATGTAAATTTTCTAATGATCAGCATTAGCATACTTTCTTGTCTAGCACCTCTAGCTTTACTATACTGTTGAAAGTATTGGCATTTATTTTAAAGATTCAAATTGATTCCTCACTTCAGGTTTTACAGACATTTCACCAGAGGAGTTGAGGCTTGAATACCATAACTTCTTAACCAGCAATAACTTACAGAGTTATGTAAGTTTGTTTCCTATTCATCTACCTCAATAACAGATTAGCTGTTAATTACTATCTTCTTTGTTTGTAGTCAAAGGTTGGCAAAGTGGGTGAGGTCTACAAGTTTTTCAAGACAAGGTTATTTTTATTTTCTAAATTACTTTTCTTGAAATTGATTGGTTATCTAAAATGGTGATAATATATTTTGACTGTAGCAACTGGGAATGTCATTATTTCATTACAAATTATCCAGCAATCAATCCCAGAAATCAAACCCTTTCATCATTTGACAAACATTTATAGAGCATTTCTTAGGTGCAGACACCGTGATGAAAGCTAGAAAGACAAAGTTAATAAAGCAGTCTGTTATATAGATTAACATTCTCACATGTCACATATCAAAAAATAAAAAAGCTGGGCTTGAATAAGTTTGATGCTAAAGGAAGTGAAATAAAGTGTGTATTTTTTGTTGTCTATAGTCATGATCATGCGTTTTAACTAGCACACGTTCGCCTCCTATCCAAATATAACTAACTCTCTGCTGCCAGATACTTAGGATTCTTAACCAGAAGATACAAGGAGTTGAAGAACAGGGCGAGGGGACTATAGCTGGAAAATAGGGGCAGGTCAATGCAAATTTTACAAGTTATGGACCATAAGAATGTTTCATAAACTTTTTGTGATTTTGGCAAAGACGTGAAGTTGTCATTTGAGAGATTAACTTAAATACTCAATATTGACTCATTATTTTTCTGTCTTCTCTCTTCAGCTGAATTCTATCCAACAGTTAAAAAATCAGTGGAGGAACAGGGTAAATGAACTGAAAACTCTAAATACATCAACTAAAATAGCTTTGGTGAGTATTGGAGAGTTTGCTACAGGGAAGTGACTTATCTATTGCTTTTTTGCAGAGAATTTTACTTTCTATTTGGAAAGCAAAGTTAAGCTCAGCTGGTGTGGTTCGGTGGTTGAGCATCAACTTATGAACCAGTAGGTCATGGTTTGATTCCTGGACAAGGCACATGCTCAGGTTGCAGGCTCGATCCCCAGTAGGGGGCGTGCAAGAGGCAGCTGATCACTGACTCTCATCATTGATGTTTCTCTCTTTCTCCCTCTCCCTTCCTCTCTGAAATAAATCAAAATATATTTAAGAAAACAACCACAAATTATGAATCACACATTCTCAAGAACTGTATCATCATTTAGAGGCAAGGCCCTGAAATTGCTTTCTCTCCGTTCTTCAGTCAGAAAAGCATAGGAAATCATGCTTTTTAAAAATTGTTTTTAGAGTAAATTTTAAACTTTTGTAGTATTAATTTTGAAATTGAAAAATATTACATACATTCAAATATTTCAAGTTATCGGCATTTAAAAATAAATTGCTTTTAAAAATGACATGAGTGTACATTTTTTATTCATTTACCTGTTAATGAATATCACACTAAGAGAAGCTAGATTAAAAAAAAAAGTACATATTAGTAATTACATTTATATGAAACTAAAAAAGACAGACCTTGTCTATAGTGATAGAAAGCAGGTGAGTGATTTCTTGGTGCCAGGAGTTGGGGGAGGGCTGACTGGAAAAGGACACAGGGAGCTTTTAGGGGTGATGGAAATGTTCTAACTCTTGATAATGGTGGTGATTATAAGTTTGTCAAAGCTCATTGAAATACATGTATTTTATAAATATATAGATATAAAATGGATGCATTTTATTGTTTGTAAACTATACCTCAACAGAGTTTAATTTTTAAATATGCTATTGGGGCTTCCAAATGAGAGAAATCTTATCTGTTTGAGTTGATTAGGAAAGGCTTTTGGCGAAGGGGTAAGTGAAAAGTTTCTTAAAAAGGAGATTAAGATTTCAGTAAGCAGAGATGAAAGACCTTTCAAGAGCAGGAAGTAGCAAGAGCATGAAATATTTGCAGGCAATGGGAAATGTGTAATAGATTTTAGTGGTAAGTTTCAGTAGTGTCATTGTGAATCAACTTCAGTTCAAGTGTTAGAGTGAATAGAATGGGATCCTCTAAAGGTCCCTTACCTAATATCTAGGTTTCTTGATAAATGCAGGTCAGCCTATGACACTGAAATATATTCTTAATTTTTTTTTTCTGATTTTAGTATGTGTTCATTCGAAAATTTAGAAAATATTTAAAAGCAAGAATAAAATTAAAACCATAATTCATTAACCAATTACTCTTAATCTTTGAGCTTGGTTTCCTTTTTTTTAAAATGTATATTCATATTGTGGGCATTTTTCTGTTAAAAACATTTAGCTTCACATTTTTAAGTGCATATTTTAAACATTGAATTTGGCTCTGAAGTATATAGAATTATTTATCAAGTACTTTATTATTTGCCTGTTTTTACAGCTCTCCGATATAAAGGATGGAATAAATCAAGCAACACCTACATTTGGATTTGGCAGTAGGCAAACAGCAACATTCGGGTCACCAGGTAAGTGATACAGTAATGCAGGACTTCATTGATTTAGAAAAATAAGATTTTATAGGTTTGAAGTCATTAAGCCTGAAGGTATGTTAAGTACCATTGAAGACCCTATGGCTCAAGCTTTAAAAGTATATTTTAGGAATGGTTTTCAAGACTTTGATAGTTAGGGAAGCAGCTCCTTTGAGGACTTTCTTGTCACTTGTATAATAACATAGTATCATCCTCAAGTGACAGCTCTAGTGAGATTTTTTTGCGGGGGGGCGGGGGGGGGGGGGCCTCAAGCCAAAAGTGAACGTGCACTTGCTAATCCCTGAGGTTTCTCAAAGCTGCCTCCTTGAGTGGTGCAAATGAGATCGGTGTAGCAGTAGCAGAAAGACAGAACAACAGGGTCCAGTGGGTTTGTTCTAGCTTCTCATTTTCCTTTTCTCCTCTCCTTCTAGTAATCGTCTCTCTTCCCAACATCCAAGCAGGGCAGGAATAAGGGAGAAAGGGGGCCGGGGGGGGGGGGGGGGGGG